GGCAGATGGAGGAAGTACACTACTGAGGGGAGCAGCGGGCAGGCCAGGAGAGGTCTGCGTGGATCACCTCCAGGCCAGAGTAGAACTGCTCTGAAGCAGCTGTGCCTAGCTTGCAGCACTGAGTCCTAACCCTTTGCACCAACAGGGAGGGAGGGCCCGCATTGCCTTTTAACATTCAAATTCCAAGGGTAGGGGTATCTGTGACCAATAATCCTTAGGCTCCACTTTTTTTTTTTTTCCTAGTCTGCCTAGGACCCAGTGAGACAATGGGGAGTAGAATCAATCTAAGAAAGCAGAAAAAGCAGGACCCATCTATCAGAAGACTTTTTGCTCTTCTGGAGAAAGGTTCGGGTTGCCAAGTTAACAGCTGGCAAAAGGGACACAGGGCACACAGCTGCAGTGGAGAAAAAGTGGCTTTGAGGAATATAGTGTGCCATGGATGTGTGCTAGTGCTATACTTTTTTTTTTTTTTGTAAAGATTTATTTATTTATTCATATAGAACTGGGGTACAGGCCAGAGATGCAGAGGGTGAGAGGATTCACCAGAGACAGAGTGGGGAGCAGAACAGGCAGATCAACGAAGTACACTGCTGAGGGGAGCAGCGGGCGGGTCAGGAGAGGTCTGCCGCGCCATGTGGTCACCTCCAGGGCAGGCGGGAATTGAACTCATGTGGAAGTGGCTTAAGCTTCTCAGTGCAGTGCTTTAACCCACTGCGCCACCAGGGAGGGCCTATACTTTTTTTAAACAAAGCTGGCACAGCAGCAAGATATAATAATACTAATACCCAGCATCGATGTGCCAGACACCACTCTAAGTATAAGACAGAGTGGTGGGAGATTTCAATTATTCAAAGAACAGCTGGAAGTTTAATTTTGCTGTAGGCCTAGCATCAGCAAAAGTCCCCTTTTTGCCTCGTTGACTCTTTTGTCTCAGAGTAGGATCCGGCATCTGACGGCCTGGATTTGAATCCTAGCTCTGCCAGTTTATAGGGTGGCAAGTTGGTAGCCTTGAGCAAGCCACTTAACCCCGGTGAGACAGGTCAGTTCTGGGTAGCAGTGAGCCTTCCTCATGGTGTTCGTGTGAGAGTGCCGAAGAGAGAATGGACGGAAAGAACAGCCCAGTTTCTGGAGAAGTTCTTGCCATGTATGATCAACTAATATTATTTCAGAAGGGAGAGGGTGTTTTGACCAGTAATGAATAAATTGAAGTGATGTGGAAGTAACTACAACCAAGAGAAAGTGACTATGTTGTGAAGGAGGTGATTAGGGTCTGAGAAGACAATACCAGGTACAGAATCAAGTAAAGCCCACTTTAGAGCGTTTGTGAGAAGTCTGCTCCAGTGGATTCGAGTGTAAATCCCTAAATAAGACTAGATGTATGAAGAATGAGGGAATGGAAGACATTCCGAAATAAGTGTCTAGTAAGTCAATGATCCTATTGAGAAGAGAAAGGAAAAGAGTTTTTTAAAATATCAGCATGGCAGGCCCTCCCTGGTGGCGCAGCGGGTTAAAGCACAGCACTGAGAATTTAAAGCCGCTTCCGCATGAGTTCGATTCCCACCTGCCCCGGAGGTGACCACATGGTGTGGCAGACCTCTCCTGACCAGCCCACTGCTACCCTCAGCAGTGTGCTTCGTCGATCTGCCTGTTCTGTTCCCCACTCTGTCTCTGGTGAAGCCTCTCACCACCCCCTGAGTCTCTGGCCTGTACCCCAGTTCTGTATGCACAAATAAGTAAATCTTTAAAAAAAAAAATCAGCATGGCAGCAACAAAGCAGCTCACACCCGTAAGCCTGACTTCTGACAAACTGAAACCCAAGGAGAATGTGAGATGATGTTTGAAGCACAAAAAGAACAAGTCTCATTAGGACTTCATTAAGCCAAAAGCATTTTCTTTTTTTCCCCCCAAGAGAGTAGCCCTTACAAAAAATAGAAGAGACATTATCAGTGGGTACCAGAATCCACAGCAGAGAACTACCAGCCTTGGAAAACAGCATATTTGAATTCACAAAGCTGGACAAACCTATAGATGCCATTCAGGGGCTTCCTTGATGAATCTAGAAAACAGAGTAGGTTCCACCCAATGAAAGACAAACAGACAACATCCCACTTTTTAAAAAGGACTACAGGACACTTTCTGGACACCACAGACTGATATGTCATCCTATTCTTTGGTAAGATTCTGGAGTAGATTATTATCCAAGCATTTGCCCTTTACACATAGGAACTAGTAACTTAACATGACTTTTTTTCATTTCTTTTCTGTTAGAAATGGTCATGATTTGAATGCAGTGTCTTCTGTCTTAGTGGAAAGAACACAGAACTGAGGTCTGGAGATCTGGATACGTGTCCAGCTATGTTATTAATAAGTTTGGTGATAAGTCTTTAATTTTGCTGGACCTCATGGTCATAGCCTCTTAGGTCCATCTTATCTCCAAGTTCCATGTATACACATTGGAATGAAAGGTGGGCTGGGTGACCATCCCATCCAGAGAATACAGACAGGCCCCAACAGAATGGCCACAACCTGAGAGCTACTTAATTCACAACAGTGTGCTAAGCTGACCAAGGGGAGGTCATAGTTCTGGTTTTGCCCTTTATATAAGTTTATTAATGGCTTAACCTCCAAATGAAAAGACTATGGCAAAGGGTCATAAAATGAAGATGGAAAATAAACTCAATGGACTGGGAAAGGCTTGGGCTACAGGCTCGATGACACTAACTGACACCCATGCAAAGCTCTATGTCTGGGTTATTTTTAAAAAGAATACTGGTCTTCTCTGGTAACATAGGTCTTAAATCTTAGCAGTAGGAAGCAATCTGCAGCCACTGCAGCACGAGTTCGATCCCCAGTCAGGGAACTAACACGCATGGTATAGCAGACCTCTCCTGTCTCACCCACTGCTCCCTTCAGCAATATATTTCAGTCAATCCACCTATTCTGCTCTCACTCAGTCTCTGATGAATCCTCTTACCCGCCGCACCTCTGGCCTACACCCCAGCTATTGTATGCATAAATAAATAAATCTTTAAAAAAATTAATACCTATGGAAATTCAAGACAGGGAAGATTTGGCTGAAATGTCAGTGGTAGAATTGTGGGCTTGGGTGGCTGAGATGAGTACCCATTCCAACTTAAGTGATTATGCCATCTTCTGGCTGCTAACAAAAGAGCCAAATTGATCATATTTAACAGTAAGAAGAAGAAGAATGGGGACATCTGTTGAGCCCTTTCATGGGCTTCCCACATTATCTCAATTCTGGGGTATGATAGTGACATTGGATCCCCACTCCAGGACTTGCCACCTGCACCACCAGATCCGGTCTTTAGTGTTGCTTTTGATGCTGGGAGCTTTGTGGAGTGAGAAGAGTAACAAACTATAGAACAGGGCCCTCAGGATGCAGAAAGCCTGAAAACCAAGTTCTATGGGAAGGGTTGGAAAGAATGATAGTGTTCAATGCAAAGGAGGCACAGCCAAACAGTGTGAAAGGAAGAAAAAGAAAGGGGTAATTAAGACAAAGGCTCTGACTGTCTGCCAACAAACCTGTGTACTTCCATTGGTGAGTTGTACGACTTTGGCAAGTTACTCAACCACTCTGTGTCTTAGTTTCCCCAAATATAAAGAAGAAGCAGTCATGGTCTCTGTGTCTTAGTTTCCCCAAATATAAAGAAGCAGTCATGGTAACTAACAAGACATGATATGTGCTTAAAAGCATATGCGGCCCATGGCGGCGCTTAATATATGCATGTGGTGATATGATGGTTATTGTCATCCCCTGTTTGTTTGGCTCCTGTGGCAAAGAAAAAAAGGATCGTTCTGTCTGGCTTCAGAAGGGAGAATAGGACCAGTAGAAGAAAGAGAATCTGATTCAATATAAAGAGACTTCAGCTAAACAGCTTCTCAATAAAGAAATGTTTTCCCAGTTACCAAAGAATCTCACTCTTCCATTTTGTAGTTAGGGAAATAATTCATGAAGATGATAAGATACCATAAATTAAGAGTATCAAGGAGACAAGCAGGTAAGCCGATATGAACAAGGAAGCCTATCTTTCTATTCTTCCTCTGTGGAGAAATTGCTGACCGTTTGGATTTGTAGGTAACCTTGAAGATAGTGGATTTTTATTACATGCCTTTGATTTTTCCTGCCTCACAATGAGGAAGATAAAGGGTTTGTGCTTTGTAGTCAAATTCCTCAGCTCTGAATACTTGCTCTGTTACTTATCAGCTGTGCAATCTTGGGTAACTTAGCTCACCTCTCTGGGTGTAGTTTCTTTCCTCTGTAAATGAAGCAAGCTACCTACAATGCTAAGGATCAGAAATCAGACCTAATACATTTCTTGCTGTGTCGGTAAGCACTATGCCAAAGTGGGCTGACTATAGATATGTGCGGCAGACAGATTCAAGCCTTCTGGCCTTTTGTACTTGGCGGGGGATGTGGGTGGTGGAGTTTGGATAAAGAAACTCTGCAACATCAGCAAGCACATATGCCAAAATTGCACTTATGATACAGATAAGGGAGACAGGCAAGTTCTGAAAGCTTTCCAAATCTTAAAGTCTTATACTTCTCACAGGACTGAAAAATAACAGGGGGGTAAAGTGAAACGTCTGTGTTTGTTGAGAATCAACTGAGTGTTAGGTTCTGCATTCATTGTCCAAGTGATTCTTCAGGCTGGGTACAAAAGGACAGAACTGATGATGATGAGGCAGGACTGAAGAACAGTTTTGCAGTTGTCTTGGAACCATTCCTAAAGCCTTTCTAGATCTATAGAGGATCCCTGGAGCCCGATTCTGTCTTTCAGAGAACTGACCAGAGCTAGACCTTCCCCATATCATTGCAGCAGCCGAAGCATTAAGTCTGAGCAATTTTCCCCAAGATTCAGCTTCTGGCGGAGGCAGGCATCCTTCAAGAGTGTCCATAACCCCAACACAAACGCACACCCCACTTTGGGTTAGGATGCACTGAGGAAACTAACAGATGACCTCTTTTCTCTGCCCCCCAGTGTGATGGGGTTGGGGTGGACCTGAGCAACATCTTCCTTGAAGGCATTGCCATTCTCAACATTCCCAGCATGTATGGCGGCACCAATCTCTGGGGAGAAACCAAGAAGAACCGGACTGTAATCCGGGAAAGCAGGAAGGTCGTCACTGACCCCAAGGAACTCAAATTCTGCGTCCAAGGTAAGCCAGGCGTGAGCACAATTGTTCAAATCCAGTGTCCTAGTGGGAGGGGTATTCATGAACTGATAGCAAGCTGTATCAGGACCTGCAGCTGGCTCTAGGTGGCCCAACGGCCTGACAAGGAGCCAGAGCTCTGGGGACATGACAGCTCCCCAACCCTGTAATCCGAGCTCACTGTCTGACTAGAAGGAGAAAATTACCATGAGGGAGAACTCCGTGATAACCAGTCGTCAAACTGTGGGACTCCATAAGGTCAGGAGTCAAATGCTGTTCTTGTCAAGCTCCCTGCTGTCCTCCAATAACTAAATTCAAGAGTCAGCTCTCAAACTTGATCTCCCTTCATCTCTCAGCACTGTTTGACCCAACAGATCCCTCACTCCCTTTTCCTAGAAATACTTCTCAGTGGGTGTCTGAGACTCCACTCCACGAATTCCTGGTTTTTTCCCTCCCCCATTAGTTCCTCCTTGTCTTTCCCTGAATTGTATCTTTTCTCTAACCTCTTGACAATGTGGGTTCCTCAGGCAAAGTCCTCACTCCTCTTCCCTTTTCTGTCTATACTCACTTTCTCAATGAGCTCATCCAGTGGTGAGGCTTTATTTAAATGTCACGTGAGTGCCCATGACTCAGCAGGTCCAAAACTGAACTCCTGATTTTCCTCCCCCAAACCTCTCCACCCACAGTCTTCTCCATCTCAATCAATAACTCCAACCTGCACATTGCTAGAACCAAAACATTTGGCACCATCTTTGACTTCTTTTTTTTCTAACATCTCACACCCATCCCATGAGAAAATCTGTTAGCTCTACTTTTAAAAAAAAATCCAGGATCCAACAACCATTCATCACAGCATTCTTTCCACCTCGGTCCAAAAAACCTCCTTTATCCCCCTGGATTGCTGCAGATCTTCCCACCTAGAGTCCCCGCTTCTGTACCCTGCCCAGATAGTCTGTTTTCACTACTGCACCAGAGTATCTCTAGGAAATGTGTCAAATTATACCATTTCCTGCTCAAAATCCTACAGTACCTGAGAGTAAAAGCCAAAGAGGTTCATGTGACCTCGCTCACTCAGACCCAGATGGTCTGGCCTCCTAATTCCTCAAGACTTCATCCTCTGCTCCTCCACCCCTCACTCTCTCTGCCTCCATGTCCCTGGCTCCCGTCACACAGCAGGTCATTCCCATGAGCCAAATAGTCTTCCTGCCTGCAGCAACTGGGGAGTATGCCTTAGAAACATCAGTTGGACCTTCTCCTTTTAACCCAGAACACAGGATGCAGCTTTGCACAGGTTCCTTTAAAACTACCTTCACACCAACCCCAATGCAGCCTTTTCCTCCTAGAAACCAAATGGATCTGGACCAAAGTTTCTGGCACTCTCGTTCCTCTATATTGGGTAAATGAGCTCTGCTAATCTTTAGGGGTTCTTGATGGACTGGTGAGCTGAGGAAGAGAAGCCAGGTGTGACCGCGTTGGCAAAGACATCTCAGCAGGAGCCAGGAAACTAGATTTAAGTCCAAGTGCTGCCACTTTTTGGCAGCTCAGTTTTCTTTGCTATAAAACCAGCATCTTGTGAAAAAGTTTTGTTAGCTGAGTGGATGGGGTTGAACCAAATAATTAGTTCTTAAACCAAGTCTGCTTGTTGAAAATGTAGATTCCTGGGCCTCAGCCCAGATCTACCTAATCAATCTCTGGGTTCATTCCTAAGAATCTAAATTTGTAATGAGCTCTCCAGATGATGACTCTGATGGGCTGCCAGGTTTGAGAACCATTGACTTCGACATATGTCCATGAATCTGTGTCTGTGTTCTTTGATGTTCCAGGCTGTTAGTGCTAAGGTTGGATGTGATCCCACCAGTAGAAAGAAACAAAACTTGGTTGGCCATCAGTGGGAGTGGCGCCTGGCTTAGTTCAGACCCATCTATTAGACAATCATATTACTACATTCCAAGGTGAGGTCTTCAAAAAGCATCATCTCCACACCTCAGTGCTTTCTTTACCCGTGGACTCAGGAATTTTTATATATCTATTGCTCTCTTATGTTGCCTTTATTTTACATGATAAACTTTTCGATTTGTATAAATTATTAAACTGAATAATGTGTTCCTCCTTCCTCACTTGGCAGGGGAAGTTGTGAGTGCTAGCAGAAGGTGGAGGAAGCTTGGGAGGTTATAGAAAGTTCGTGAAAACTTTCTTGCCCTGGTGGTCCTCCTACCATACCTCCCCCCCCTGCCCCCACCCCCGTCGCCCCCATCTGGCATCCAGCCTCACCAGAACACATTCAGAACAGAACCCACCACCCCCTCCCCATTTCCCAACCTGGGAGCTTGGGAATGTTCTTGCCGAGGACATGTTCTGGTTCAAAGTCAAAGACAGCTTTCATCTTCCCCTTATATGCCTGACCATGTATTTCCCCTTCTTCAAGCCAAAGTAATGTGTCTGCTGATCGGTCTTGGCCATCATATACAGGAACTCTCTTCCTCAAATCCCCCTTTCCCACCCCATGAAGTGCTTTCGAGCTAAAAATGAATTTACTTCCTGTTCTTTATATGAGGATATGAGCTGGTCTGAGTAGAGGCCAAAGCAAGGGCCCTGGTTTCTTGACATTGTAGAGACACCAACATTGAGCTTTCCTTTCGAAAAGGCCATGAGTTCACTTCAGTTGAAATGTTAGTGAAGAAAAACAAAAGTGCAACCTATTTTCGTGGAACAACATTGACCCGGGAGTCAAGAGACCTGATTCCAGTCCAGGCTCTGCCTCTCACTAGTGTATCATGTTGGGCAAGTCCGTTCACCTCTTTGGGTCTCAAATTTCATTATTTGTAAAATAGGCAAATGGGATGGTCATGGAGCTTCCTATAGATCGTTGTTTCCTGATAACTTTACAAAATTAAGGCATGGCCATATATATTTTTTAAATAATAGAGTAGTTTATTTTTACATCACTTTGTGTCTTTTTCCATCTCAGTTAGGCATGGCCTAAATGGATCTCTTCTGGGACACAATTGTATGGCAGATTTCTTCTTATTTTCATGTGTTTGTCTTGTAGATATGGTAGCAGTGGTCTATCTCTATAGGCTCTTCATTTGTTTAGAATCCTTATTGGCTGTGTCCATATTCTGAGTCTCAACTTCCTTATGTGTAAAATGGGCATAAAAATACCTAGCATATTAGAAAACGATGGATATAAAGTGCCTTGAGCATATGTAAGCCCAAACTTGTGTTTTAATTTCTCTTCCTCTTCAAATCCTATTGTATACTGTCAGCTGCCACTTGAATTCCTGATTTTGAAGTTCTTATTCATTAGCATTGTCATCTGCCTACACTGTCACTAAAAAGGAATAGAACTCCCGCCAAACTCCAGCCCAGCCTCTGGCCTAACATATTAAACCTATACCATCAATTGTACCTGTCGTCTCCTTTCCTATACCTTTCAGGGTCCAGTGATGGAGACTATAATAGGTATTCATCTTTTCATTCTTCATGTAGTTAATAAAAAAAAAGTTTCATGACTAAAGGAAAAGCATATAGGCACTGATTCTTTTCAGTTTTTGTAGTAACAATAAAAGTAGTAAAAGACAGTCTTTTGTATTTATCTCTCATTTTGGTTTGCAAGTAGCTTTGCATACATTAACTTAATGTAATTCTAACCAGACACTCATGAGCAAGTTATACCTACTCTTCTCTGTATCCCTATAGTGAGGGAAAATAGAGGCCCAAGAAAGAACAATTTATGGCCATTGGGGACATCAGAGCCAAGTCCATAACTCCTAGCCTAGTTCCAAAATACAGTGTCCTGATGGGGAATTTGAGGACCTACTGTGTGCATGGCACAGGCTAGGCACACAAAAACCAGGAAGTGTTTAGGGCCCCATCCATGAAAATTTTCCATACGCTTTGTTGAAATTGAACTTCTCCTACAAGGTCACCTCTGAAGTCATCTCCCCCTGGACCCTAGTGTGGCCCCTCTGGAAGTGAGCCCAGTATCTGAGATTTAGAGCTCTTCATTTTCTGCCTGCAATACGCTGATTATGATTTGCTCTGTGTCAAGGCTCATGCCTCCTCATCATGTATTTCTCCTGTTGGTACCTGGCAAATAGGGAGGATGTTCTTATCTTTGTGTCCCCTTCAAAGTTTCCATTGTTCTTCAGAACAGGGCAGTCAAATCTAGAGCTGGACAGGTACTGAGTGAAAAATCTTGGGGAAGAAATGGTCTCACATAAAATAATATGTGAGTATTTGTGGGACTGAGAATTTCTAAATTAGAACCATAAGCAACTCATTGGATAAGATGTGCTAGTGACATTCAAATAACTATTTCTACCAGAGCTTCCAGTTGCAGATGAGAGTCAGGGCAGAATAAGGGATAAACATTGAACACCAAGTTAGAAGACACCTGCCACCAGCCATGTGGGATTGGTTGAGTCACTGAAGCACTCCAAGCCACCATTTCAACCTTTACAAAACAGAAACAATTGTAGTCTCTCTCCCTCAGCATTGTTTTAAGGGCTGAGTGAGATCTTACTTGTAGAGTACTCAACAGACTACCTGGACCATGGTGAGCACTTGATCAATAATAATCAGAATTGTCAAGTGATATGTAAAAGATGATAAATGTCTACTAGATGATATGAAAGGAGCCAAATTTAGAATTCCATTCTCAACTTCTGCTTCAGGAATTGGGTCTAGATGAATGTTTAAATCTCCTGTATCTCTCAGGGTATTTGCACTTACGTGTATTAGGCTGCTGCTGACCAGCTGGGGATTACACTGAGCTGCCTGTCCAGAGAGGCTAGGTGAATCCAGCTAAATCTTGAACCCAGAGGAAGCACCATCTAGGTCAGTCCCTGTGAGGATGAGAGTAAAACCCTGGGAAGCTGTGCCATTGTTTCTCTCCGGTCCCCTCCCAAATAAGAATGCAAGACTCCTCCTACTCATTTCTCAGACTCTTCATTGAGCCTCACATCTGCCCCAACCCAGCCTCCAGCCTCAAACCAGCTGCCGGC